ACTCGGCATGCTGCGATCTGTGTAACCCTAACCCTAACCCTAATTTTGGCAGAAGCCATTGATCGGAGCGAAGATTGGAGATCGGGTTGGATCGCAAACGATGCCTTCGTACTCGGATCTCGATCGCCAGATCGAGCACGTGAGAGAGTGCAAGTTCTTGCCGGAGGCGGAGGTGAAGGCGCTGTGCGATCAGGCGAAGGCGATTCTAATGGAGGAGTGGAACGTGCAGCCGGTGAAGTGTCCGGTGACGGTCTGCGGGGATATCCATGGCCAGTTTCATGATTTGATTGAGCTGTTCAAAATTGGAGGAGATGCGCCGGATACTAATTACCTCTTTATGGGGGATTATGTGGGTAAGTTGGAGTTTTGAGGTTCTGTTATATATATATTTTAATTTTGTTGCTACTTGCTAGTATAAGTAGAAATGCCAAGCATAATCAGCTATGAGTTGAGTATTTTTATGATTCAGATTGAATATTAGTTACCTGTTTATTGGGGATTATGTTGGTTACTTACTCTTTTTTTTGGCTCGCGGTAAAAGATGGTGGCTATAATAATGGTTAGCTTTAGCGGATGAGATAGCACATTACATGACTGAACCAAAGAATACAATTATAAGATTCATGTAGCTGAAGGGGTAAGTTGAGATAAGAAGGTTTTGTTTGGGGAAAGGATGGAACTTTGAGGTTAGCAGGTTTCTTAGGTTGCTAATTTGCTAGGTATAAGTAGAAAGGCCAAATATAGCTAAGTGAATTAGCTAATGCTTAGTATTTTTATGATGTAGTTTAGACGTTATAGTCACCTCTTTTTGGGGATTATGTCGGTCAGTTGTATCTCTCAGTCTGTCTAACTGTTTTTTTATTTTTTTTTATTTTTTATATTTTGATGTAAAAGATTTAGCTATGAGGCTACAGGCTTTTAGATCTAAGAGTTGCTAAGACGAGTAGAATTTTCAAATATAACCAAGAAAATCATCAGAATGTGAGTATCTTTATGCTTTTCCACATATTTTTGGATAAGTAGATTGAGATTTGACATGAAAAATATCTTTCATGGTTGTAAGGGATGTTTATGTTAAAAGTATCCATTATGGTTGGTGTTGGACACTGAATACCTTTTATAAGTTCTGGCCAAGTGTTGAAGTTTCTAAGTTAACCTTGGTAAATGTAGAGTTCTAGACTTCAAATTTGGAAAATGAATATGTCAGGTCTTATAAACATGGGCACGGAGAGTAAGCTGGATAGGGCAAGGGTTTCCTACCTACTCTTTTTCAAAGTAATAAAAGAATCTGCAACATACCTCGGTACAATGCAAGTGATAAATACCAGGTCTTCGTGCGATCTGGGCATTTCTCACATTAAGTTAATGAAATCGAATTTCTCTTTCTTTGGGGTGGGGGTTGTCCAAGATTAGCCTTTTGTGGGATTAGCAAACTAAAAAAAGTTGAAATTCATACATGAAAAATATACTGATCGCCAGTGCTTTATCAAACTATAGACATGATCTTTGTCAACTACAACTACAAGGTTATCGATAGCGGATAGCGTCGCATAGCGGTGAGGCATCGCTAAGTCTATTTCGGGCTATTGAGGCAAAATAGCGGTAAAAAGCGTAAAGTCAAATAGCGGTCTAATTTAGATATGTATAAATACTAAAAAAAATTAAAGATAAATCTAAGAAATTTAAAAGTACATATTGGATGATTTAAAAAGATCCTAAACATGAAATAGACATGTAACCATCACGTAATACCGAAGATGACTGGATGAGTTAAAAAGTCGTTGTCTTCGAGAAGAAGAGCTTAGCGGTGACAGAACTGTCCTAAGAGGAGCTCATGGTGACGGAGGTAAGAGGAAGTATCAAGGTAGGTACCAGAGGTTATGAGAGGTGGCAGGAGTATGCTGAAAATCACAGGAGACGGTGGAATGCAATGGTCAAGGGTTGAATGCAATGGTCAAGGGTTGAGTTTAATTTAAAAAAAAATAAACCTCAAACCGTTTTTAAGTAGCAGTCAAAAAGCAAATTTCGAATGCAATCACTCACTATTTACCGTTATGACACACTATTGGCCGCATTTACCAACATACATATTCCGTAATATATCACCGTTATTGCGCGATAGCGTAGCGGGCGATAGCGTCGCGGGAAGGGACCGCTAACGCTATTAGAGTCGTTATTGCGGGGCTATTTACCGCTATTTATAACAGTGGTCAACTATTTTTAGAAAATGTTGTTATTGTCATAGGCCTGAATCAATAACAATGGAAATAAAATGACCTAAACAGTAACCCACAAATGACCTCCAAAATCTTGTAGTTGAAAAAACTATTAAATCTTTATTGGACAGACTGAGAAAAAGAATTAAGTTTCTAAAGTTGAAAAGAGATATTTTTGTATCTGAATAATGTTACTTGAATTAATTGACTGTTGGCTGGAAGCACAGAAGCAGAAGTATTGTTCGGAATCATGAAACAACTTTTCCTTCAATCGTTCATATGCAGTGCATCTGAGAATCATTGTTCCTGAGACAATAATATAGGTCACACAAGGCACTTCACTCAATTGGTCATGTTTTATATGTTTGAGTGAGAATTAGATATTTCAGGATACACATGATTCATTGGTTAAAATGGTGCAAATAGTTATTTTATTGCTCAACCTGTTACTTGTGTTGGTAAAATGTGATGTGTTTCCGTGCGCTCACCTGTAAAACAACCCAAACTTGCTCAACTTTCTGATATTTTTTTACCTGAAAAATTAAAGAAGCAGAGATGCTCCTTGTCAGAAATCTGTTTTGATCGAGTTTCATTCCCATTTTTTAATACATTAATATCCATTATATAAATTTGCCATAATTATTTACATAGCTGAGCTCTTTATGAAAAGATGGCACCACAATGACTTGGCAGTACTACTGCAGAACTGAAAGTTTCCTGTTCGTTACATTTACAGAGGCAGGTACTAACTCTTCCATAGGTGTTTCTAGTATACATTATTATGGGAAGGTGCAACCAATATGGATGAGATTTATACTTAACCAGGTAAGGAGCGATCTTAAGCAATGCAACCTTTTGTAACTTTTTAAGGTATGGATGTCTTGCCTCATCTTCTCTGGTGTCCCTCCTAATAATGTTCATTACCATATATATTATCTTAAACTAAACCTGTGGGAGAATTTTGTTTGATGGGTGCTGAACAACAAAAGAAGACAAAAAAAAGGAAGAAAAAAGAGAGATAGATTGAGTATAAGACAAGGAATTAACTATGTTATTGATTTTTTTTCCTTCAATAAGTGTCAGAAGACTTTGGATCGTGGTGATGATGGCTCAAGGAGGTGGCTTTAGTTGGAGATAGGCGGTTGGATAAAAAAGAAGAAGAAGAAGAAAGGAATGCAACAATATGGGAGGTGGCTGCAAGGTTGAAGTGTTTTTCCAGCTAGTTTGAAGTTTAGTGTTTGATACCAAAGGTGAAAAGGTTTACTTGGGTTGTCGATTTGGGAAGGTGTTGCGCTGGATGGAGAGAACTGAAAATGGAAAGCTGGGGGTTCTTTTGCAGCTTCGGAACAGAATAGAGGAGAGGGATTTTGGGGCTGTTGTGCTGTGGATTTCTGCGAGGATATGGGGCCTGATGGTAGATGAGGAGACGTGAGTTGCCTAGGGTTTGTTTGTTTTTTTATTTTGTCTCACACCCATGCTAGCAAATCACATGCTATTTCTATTTCCCGAAAGAAGCACTCAAGTACAAATTTCAAAAATTTTCAAATCAAAGAAGTCATCCTAATACAAATAGAGCAGAGAAACTTAGATCTAAATTTCATAGAAAATGATTAATCCTAAACCCTAATCGAATACTAATCCTATAAAGTTAGAACTCATCCTCCAATTTTTATTGTAAATATAATTTTCCGAAATCATATTGAAGATGTGACATGTGTCATTATGTCGACATGAGAATCCACCAAGCATGGGGTACTTGTGCCTGTTTTGGCTTTTTAACTACCAGCTGCATCTGCTCGTGCTTTTCCTTTTTTCCTGTTTGCCTTTCTAATAGTAGTTCTTATTTACTTAGGAGGGAGGGATAAAACAAAAGCTTTGTCAGGATTTCTTGCTTTAACTACATCATGCATGCAAGGATATATATTGACTTTTTAGTTGATACTTGATACAAGATGACTACGGGCCTCTGTGATCTGCGTAAAGTCCAGGTGTAAAGTAATACATAGACTGAAGAGTTTATGGTAAACCAAGATTATTTTCTATGTCATGTTAAGTATATGAATATTAGAAAAACTCAAATAATGCACTCAAGTCATCACATTTATTGCTAACATGGTAGAATAGCTTTAAGGAACATTACAATATATTTGGCTTTTTATAAGGCTTAGGTTTTGCAGTTACACATTTGCACTTGATCTGAAGTAATGAGCTACCTCGTTACCATCAAAGCAGATGTTTTCTATCCTCTTTCTTCTCTTTTGATTTAATATTCAGTAATTCATTTCTGTTGGTAGTACTAAAGGTTTTTTAACCCAGCATGGTAAGTTACCATCCTTTTGATGTTTATTTAAATTTTTGCTGCCCACTCATTAAGGAAATTACTGACCGCTGCAGTTGTTCATTCTTGACATGCTGGTGTACTTATGCTTTTCTGACATTTTTTCCCTAATAAATGTGATATGGAAGAATACAAGAATAGTTGGTTTTGGTACATCCTTTTGCATAAATATGTCAGGGGTTGACATAGGAACACTGCTAAGTATGGTATTTTCTAATGCAGATCGTGGTTATTATTCTGTGGAGACTGTCACATATCTGGTGGCACTGAAAGTCCGTTATAGAGACAGGGTTACAATTCTTAGGGGGAATCATGAGAGCCGGCAAATTACTCAAGTGTAAGTCTGATATTCCCTATGGTTCTTTATATATAGTGGGAGAGTTGGGCAATGTTAAAGAAATGATAAAAAATAATGTTTGAAATTCAATGCTAAGGCGCTAAGGTAATGATCCCAAAGGTGAACTTGTTAAGTATCTTCCACTATTTTTATCGTGGCTGGTAAGGAGTTCATGGGTTCAAGCCTTCAAGGTCCCATGTGCAGCATGCACCAAGAAACTACTACAAAGGGGTATTTTCTCATCGTTTCTTACAGGGTGATAAAAATCTGATAAATTGATTATATGTAGCATCCAGGGTGTTAAAGTGACTTTGTATCTAACACTGGTCATTAAGTATCACTACCCAAACAATGAAGTGATTCACCGATGTTAAGATTTCATTTCTGTGCCACAATTGTATGGCTGTCATCCTAGTTAACAATCAACTTGATCAATACTTGCACATTCTCAGAATCTCACGAAGTCACTATTCATTCTATGGAAGAAATGTCAATGTGATAAAATAGAGTTAGATATCCACTATTTATTAAACACTTCCTTTTCTGTTGGAGAAGGTGGTTAAAGACGATTCTGTGTAGCTGTTTATATAGTTTGTATGACCAAGTTATTTAGAGCAGTATGCTTCTTTCTATCAATTAGGAGACAATTGTCTCATTCAGTTGCAGGTTTTTAATCTTAACTTACAATGTATTTCAAGCTACCCCAAGAAGTGCATTTAAGCTAAAATGATGGTTTGAAATGGCCTATGAAGACGACAGTCTTTGATACATGTCTGAAGTAGAGACACTTCAGCTGCTGTAGCGCAGCATGTGGATGTCACTTCTTGGTCTGAATGGTATTCTGAACTCTAGCTGCTGCATGGAAGGTAAGTTACCACAACTACAAGTGCATTTAAGCTAATATGAGGCTTTGAGAGGAGCCTATGAAGATGGTAATCTTTGATACTTGTCTGAAGTAGAGACACCTCAGTTGCTGTAATGCAACACGTGGATCTCACTTCTTCGTCTGAATGGAATTCTGAAACTCCAGCTGCAGCATTGACGGTTCTGCCAGTAACTCTAAAGTCTTTGATACATGTCTGAAGTAGAGACACTTCAGCTGCTGTAGCGCAGCATGTGGATCTCACTTCTTGGTCTGAATGGTATTCTGAACTCTAGCTGCTGCATGGAAGGTAAGTTACCACAACTACAAGTGCATTTAAGCTAATATGAGGCTTTGAGAGGAGCCTATGAAGATGGTAATCTTTGATACATGTCTGAAGTAGAGACACCTCAGTTGCTGTAATGCAACACGTGGATCTCACTTCTTCGTCTGAATGGAATTCTGAAACTCCAGCTGCAGCATTGACGGTTCTGCCAGTAACTCTAAATTGCTCCGGGGCATTCTGAAACTAAGCTTGAAGAACTGCATTATCACATATCACAGATTCACAAGGAAATAATGTGCATGGAGACCTTTTATTATGGATAATTTACTGAAACAGAATTCAGCGGAAATGGGGATTATAGCTAATTAGGCAACAAGATAGTTAGGATATATGATATTGATGAAAAGTCTTATGTATATGTTGTGGTATCCACATAGCGGATTTTAATATTTGGACTGCAATTTGACGAACCCACATATGGATGCACCATCCTAGTAAAATCTTTCTTGATGGGACAGCTTCTTTTTAGAAACTATAACAGACATATCTTAACCTAAATTGCTCTGGGGCATTCTGAAACTAACCTTGAAGAACTGCATTATCACATATCACAGATTCACAAGGAAATAATGTGCATGGAGACCTTTTATTATGGATAATTTACTGAAACAGAATTCAGCGGAAATGGGGATTATAGTTAATTAGGCAACAAGATAGTTAGGATATATGATATTGATGAAAAGTCTTTATGTATATCAGTATATGTTGTATAGCGGATTTTAATATTTGGACTGCAATTTGACGAACCCACATATGGATGCACCATCCTAGTAAAATCTTTCTTGATGGGACAGCTTCTTTTTAGAAACTATAACAGACATATCTTAACCTAAATTGCTCTGGGGCATTCTGAAACTAACCTTGAAGAACTGCATTATCACATATCACAGATTCACAAGGAAATAATGTGCATGGAGACCTTTTATTATGGATAATTTACTGAAACAGAATTCAGCGGAAATGGGGATTATAGCTAATTAGGCAACAAGATAGTTAGGATATATGATATTGATGAAAAGTCTTATGTATATGTTGTGGTATCCACATAGCGGATTTTAATATTTGGACTGCAATTTGACGAACCCACATATGGATGCACCATCCTAGTAAAATCTTTCTTGATGGGACAGCTTCTTTTTAGAAACTATAACAGACATATCTTAACCTAAATTGCTCTGGGGCATTCTGAAACTAACCTTGAAGAACTGCATTATCACATATCACAGATTCACAAGGAAATAATGTGCATGGAGACCTTTTATTATGGATAATTTACTGAAACAGAATTCAGCGGAAATGGGGATTATAGCTAATTAGGCAACAAGATAGTTAGGATATATGATATTGATGAAAAGTCTTATGTATATGTTGTGGTATCCACATAGCGGATTTTAATATTTGGACTGCAATTTGACGAACCCACATATGGATGCACCATCCTAGTAAAATCTTTCTTGATGGGACAGCTTCTTTTTAGAAACTATAACAGACATATCTTAACCTAAATTGCTCTGGGGCATTCTGAAACTAACCTTGAAGAACTGCATTATCACATATCACAGATTCACAAGGAAATAATGTGCATGGAGACCTTTTATTATGGATAATTTACTGAAACAGAATTCAGCGGAAATGGGGATTATAGCTAATTAGGCAACAAGATAGTTAGGATATATGATATTGATGAAAAGTCTTATGTATATGTTGTGGTATCCACATAGCGGATTTTAATATTTGGACTGCAATTTGACGAACCCACATATGGATGCACCATCCTAGTAAAATCTTTCTTGATGGGACAGCTTCTTTTTAGAAACTATAACAGACATATCTTAACCTAAATTGCTCTGGGGCATTCTGAAACTAACCTTGAAGAACTGCATTATCACATATCACAGATTCACAAGGAAATAATGTGCATGGAGACCTTTTATTATGGATAATTTACTGAAACAGAATTCAGCGGAAATGGGGATTATAGCTAATTAGGCAACAAGATAGTTAGGATATATGATATTGATGAAAAGTCTTATGTATATGTTGTGGTATCCACATAGCGGATTTTAATATTTGGACTGCAATTTGACGAACCCACATATGGATGCACCATCCTAGTAAAATCTTTCTTGATGGGACAGCTTCTTTTTAGAAACTATAACAGACATATCTTAACCTAAATTGCTCTGGGGCATTCTGAAACTAACCTTGAAGAACTGCATTATCACATATCACAGATTCACAAGGAAATAATGTGCATGGAGACCTTTTATTATGGATAATTTACTGAAACAGAATTCAGCGGAAATGGGGATTATAGCTAATTAGGCAACAAGATAGTTAGGATATATGATATTGATGAAAAGTCTTATGTATATGTTGTGGTATCCACATAGCGGATTTTAATATTTGGACTGCAATTTGACGAACCCACATATGGATGCACCATCCTAGTAAAATCTTTCTTGATGGGACAGCTTCTTTTTAGAAACTATAACAGACATATCTTAACCTAAATTGCTCTGGGGCATTCTGAAACTAACCTTGAAGAACTGCATTATCACATATCACAGATTCACAAGGAAATAATGTGCATGGAGACCTTTTATTATGGATAATTTACTGAAACAGAATTCAGCGGAAATGGGGATTATAGTTAATTAGGCAACAAGATAGTTAGGATATATGATATTGATGAAAAGTCTTTATGTATATCAGTATATGTTGTGGTATCCACGTAGCAGATTTTAATATTTGGACTGCAATTTGACGAACCCACATATGGATGCACCATCCTAGTAAAATCTTTCTTGATGGGACAGCTTTTTAAATACTATTAACAGGCATATCTTAACCTTGGTATTCTATGGTGTAGGCCTTAGAAATATTAGTTTGCATCTATGAGTCTCCTCACCTTTTATTTAGTTCAGAATTTGAGAAGGCTTTGTGCCTGAGGATGAGTTTTGAGAAGTAGTAGACATAAAAAAAAAAGGTTGTAAAGGCTCATTTAGAGTGTTTAAGGTTGTGATTATTAAATAGTGGATATAGCGTCTCATTCTCAGATGCCAGCTGCAGTTGCATTTAGAATTAAAGTCTCCTCAATACAATTGACATTACCTCTTGACAACAGATATCTTTGCTATGATGTCACAATCTTTTGAATCCAAGATTTGAGGATACATGTTCTGCTGCAAGCTTAGATTGAACTCTGGTCAGATGAGTGGCATTTAGACTTTTTCGTCACTGTCCACACGATTGGAGGAATATCTTCTCATTTTTAGAAGGCATTGTGAAGTAGAATAAGGGTTGTGAAGAAAAATTTTAGATATTGTATAAGGTCCTGGTTATTGAAAAGAGGATATGGCATCTCACCCCTGGATACTTGCTGCAGTTGCATAGAATCAAAGACTCTTCAATGCAATTGAGATTATGTATTGGCACCAGATTCGTTTTCTATGTCACCACCTTTTGAGTCAGTTTATAGGTCCTACTGCAAACTTGGTAAACTTGGTTTGAACTCTTGTCAGGTGGGTGACGAAATGTTTGCCATTCATCCAGGACTAATGGAAGAATATCCTCTCCATTTGAAGGGTGAGGTCTGTGAAAGTAATTGGTTTAATGGTTAACTCTGACCAGTCCAGCTACAAATTATGGTATTAGAAACCGGTTGGCATTATGTTGATACTGTTCGATGCCGGAAGCACAGTGCCTTGATTCTGATCCATGCTAGTATCGGTAGTCAAATATACTTTTTAATAATTCATACAAGCTTTTGAATTTCTTAGTTTTTAAGGTTTTTGGGTTATAAATATACTTAAATCGTTTTCATTGAAGTTATGACATTATGCTGAAAGAACTTCTCTGTCATTTGAATATGTTTTCTACGACTGTTTTATTTGACATTCTGAAACGACCAGCATAATTTGGGAAATTTCTCTCCTTTTCTTTTTTATTTGAATTTCTCACTTCATTAGCTTCAAAAGGAAAATATTGATAGAGTCTCTAGGCATAATTTGAGAAGTTTTTCTTCCTCTTCCATTGGAGTTTCTTATACTATGTTAGCTTCAAAATGAAAATAGTGATTGAATCCCTAGGGATCATATTTATATTACTTTCAGTTTTCTTATTCTACTGTTTTAATTGAGTTGGTTCATGCATGAATTCTGTAAGAGTTTCAATAATACCTCTGTACGATTTTTATTACGTTCACCTTTTAGTCTTTTGGCTGCAGCTATGGCTTTTATGATGAATGCTTGAGAAAATATGGTAATGCAAATGTGTGGAAGTATTTTACGGACCTTTTTGATTATTTACCTCTGACAGCTCTTATTGAGAATCAGGTTTGGGTTTGAGATTACTGCATAATGATTTCATTTGTAGGTTGTCTTATATTATCTCCTGACATGAAGTCGATTTATGGTGTAGATATTCTGCTTGCATGGCGGTTTATCCCCATCATTGGATACTTTGGACAATATTCGTGCTCTAGACCGTATACAGGAGGTATGCCCTACACTATTTCCCTGTTAATACTTCTGTTTGTTAAGCAACACTATAATATTGTGGGTTAGAATACTTTCCTGTATGATAGTGTTTTATTTATTTAATCGCTTTTTCCGGAAACCTTCTCCAGAAACTCAACCTCTCTACACTGTTATAAATAGCGGTAAATAGCCCCGCAATAGCAGCGCTAATAGCATTAGAGGTCCCTTCCCGCTACGCTATCGCCTAATAGCGGTGACATATTAAGGAATATGCTCTTTCCGTTCGCAAAAAGCGGCCAATAGTGTGCCATAACGGTAAATAGTGGGCGATTACATACGAAATCCGCTTTTTGACTGCTATTTAAAAGCGGTTTGTCGTTTATTTTTTTAAATTAAACTCGACCCTTGGCCATTGCATTCCATCGTCTCCTGTAATTTTCAGCATACTCCCGCCACTTCTCATAGCCTCTGGCACCTACCTCAGTACTTCCTCTCACCTCCTTCACCGTGAGCTTCTCTTAGGGCGATCCTCTCACCGCTCAGTTCTTCTTTTCGAAGATAACGACTCTTTGACTCCTTCAGTCATCTTCGGTATTACGTGATGGTTACATGTCTATTTCATGTTTAGGGTCTCTTTAAATCATCAAATATGTACTTTTAGATTTTTTAGATTTTTTTTATTCTTTCTTTTTTTAGTATGTATACATATCTAAATTAGACAGCTATTTGACTTGCACTTTTTACCGCTATTTTGTCGCAATAGCCCCAAATAGCCTTAGTGACGCTTCACCACTACGCGACGCTATCCGCTATCGATAACCTTGCCTCTCTATATACCATAGTACCATAGCATTAAAAGAAAAATGTAAAGTTCATTTCAAGATATACATATAGATATGAACATTACCTTTCCCTTCACTTGTGATGATTAGTACTTTACTACGCCGAAACCTTGTTACGGAGGGCAGATGTTAGCTTAAGGCCTTAAAAAAAAATTATTTCTTCCATGTTAGCAATGTTCATACCTATAACCTATCATAGTTTCTCATAGCCTGACAAACCACGCCACACATTTACGCTGAGATCATTGCCTTAGCTGTCATTACCTATTGATTAGTACCTTTGATTAGGAAAGAGCAGGAGGAGCATGATGGGTTCTGCTATAAGAAATTCACGTAATGCAGAATATAAGCCTAAAAGCTATCCTATGACATACTAAGAAATAATCATAAGCTGGCATGCTGAAAAGTTATTATTCGTTATTTTGTTAATTACTGGTTGCAAGATCATTTCCTTGTTTCTCCACCATTTAGGCCAATATAAAGAACCCATTTAATTGAGTGCAACTAGGAGGGGGAACATAAAGATTGTATTGCTGAATTCAGTTTCATTAAACAACTTTTTCTTATTATAAAACATTTGCAGGAAAATTTTGCTTTAGTTTTATAATCCCTTCTGCTTTTATCTTCTTATGCTACTATGTATCTGTTTCTATGAAAACTGCTTGCAAATTTATCGTACTTTCCCGAGTGATTGTCGTTTATACAGTTTCTTTAATCTTATGGGTAGTGACCTTTTTTGCTTGTGTTCATAGGTTCCACATGAAGGACCCATGTGTGATCTCTTATGGTCAGATCCAGATGACCGGTGTGGATGGGGCATATCACCGAGGGGAGCAGGCTACACATTTGGACAGGATATTGCGCAGCAATTCAATCACACAAATGGTCTATCACTAGTAGCCAGAGCTCACCAACTAGTTATGGAAGGTTTCAATTGGTGTCAGGTGGGTCAACTTGGTGCGACTTTATTATTGTTGATTTGTTTTAAGATGAGTTTATCTTACACAAAAATGCATCTTGGTAACAATATGCTATGAATATTGATTCTTCTAGGAGCTAGCTATATCATAGAGAGCTGTATCCATGCATGATATCTATCAATTTCTCTTGGATACTCATGAGATCTTGTTGAATACTTATGTAAATTGCCATCCATATCTACCCGTACATGATATCTATCAATTTCTTTTGGATGCTCATGAGATTCTTGTTGAATACTTACGTAAATTGCGATCCCTATCTCGTTTGGAAATAATCTACATATGCCAAAAAGAAAAAAAATCTTGGGTATGGCTTGATCACCAATTCGGGATAATATTTAATAAGAGTTTTATATGATGTTACGAGTTTGTTTATAAATGGCTTGATCACCAATTCGTGATATATTAAGCAAGAGTTTTGTATATAATGTTATGAGTTTGTTTATAAATGTAATGTGATTTTATGATTAGTTCATGATTTAATCATAGTTTATAATATATATAATATGATACCGTTTAATAGGCATGTCCATGAAGAATTTCTATCTCTGATTTATGGGACTCGACATATTCATGTATCTGCAGTGTGTTGTACCGGCTGTTATCATTTAAACAATCGGTCCATCTTAGTAATGGTATTTCATTGTAGATTGTTTCAGCTACCATTGTTTTTTTTCTAGGGTAAATCTCAAGAAGTACACAAAACTACTATAAGATCTTTTATTGGGTTTTTACATGAAAATCAC